GCCCTGACTCTGATACCAAATTTAGTCAAGGAGAAAATATTCTAATCCTTGATTCTTTTCTTAAGATTATTTCTGTACGTATTATTTTGTATCAGAGAATCGAAGGTAAACATTATTTCAGTTGACGACTCAAACTAGTATCTGTTCATCTTGATCTCCTACCCGCAAAGAAGGTTTTAAAAGCCGCTTGCGATGCATTTTTGTGCCTTCTGCCACCCCATCCTGGACGTGGTTTGTTGCTCGGGCTGGTCCATTGGGGAAGGAGCCAGCATGTGTCTCCCCTTCAGTCCCAGCCTGGCTGCCTTTTTTCCAGGAACCCTCCTTGGCATCAGCCTGGGTTAGGTGCTCTGTTCTCCCCCGGCAGGTACCAGGGCTGCTTGGTTTACTGTTACGTCCTCAGCTGTCTGTTGGATGAATAAATGAATTGGGCACCAAGTATTACCTAGTGCTCTTCTTTTTATCGGTGTCACTGACAAGAAAAAGATGTGGAAATCTCAGTGGGACTTACTGAACATTTGCTGAATGATCTTTTGAACCCTGGTACACTCCTTTGGCTGGAGATTGAGCTTCAGGGTTCATATTGGAATTCCTTTTGAGAAGAGTACGGAGGGATTGAGAACCTGGGGGATACTGGAAAAGTAAATAGAAGTGAAGAACGCCAGTAGTAGGAATGTGTCTCCAAAGTGATTTAAAAAAAAAAAAACCCAAAAACTGAATTGTACTTTTCAGTCTTAAATGACTATTTAATATTTGTATTTTTACAAGCCACTTAAATCCTAGTGTAGCGCTTTAAGCTTGCACTTGTTGTCACGTGGGTCGTAGTTGGCCTGCCGCTTCTCCCCCAGAACCGGCGTTTCTCTGAGCTCGCAAAGTGCCTGTCTCCCTTCGGCCTGATTTGTGGGGCGGGGCGTGTCTCCTGGAAGTGCCATGTTACTCTCATCCAGTTGGTAGTATCTTCTCCTCATTATAAAGTAGTGTTTTGATTTTAGATGTGTTCGTGTCACCCAGTAAGTAGAATGTTTGCCCAGAGACGTCCTATATTACAGAATGGTGTGGGTTTGCAGGGATTGTCCATACTGGAGACATTGTACACTATTTGCTCATTCATGGTGCTTGACCTTGAAAGCAGGTTGAGGCTTCAAGACTATAATTAAGACAAAATATGGTTAAATAAGATAGCCTTTAAAGTCAGAAAATGCTGGTTAATGTTGGAGGGAAAACACAGTGGAGATGGATGAAAAGTGTCTTCTTACACATTGCTTTTATGTTGTTCTGAGGAAGGCTCCTGAGCGTTTTGGGTCATGTTTGCTTAAAGGTAACGGAGGGGTTGGCCTCGCCTCCCCGGCCCCTCTCCTTTGGTTAAATTTACATCCTGTCTACTCTGCTGTTTTATGTGAGGCAACTTGTATATGTGTTTGTCTAATTTATATGTTACGAAAAGTGAAGTTAAGGCTAAAAACGACTATCTTTAGTTTACGGTAATTTTTTGGACAGCATGCACCTTTTTGGATCGTTTTAATTTATTGTTCAACTATCCGTCATTCTGTTTCAGTTTCAGAAGTCCACGTGTAGTCCTTATATATTCCATAATGCTCCAAAAGGCATATGGAATTATGATAGCAAATATGTCAAGCAGGAAGTCCTAAAGGATGTATTTAAAAATGCCTTTGGTATCTAACATTCTCTGCTTTTGCCCTAGTAAATGAGAGGTTTGAGGAATGCCCTATATGGTGATATCAGATGTTAATGGCATTGATTACCTGTCAGGCAGTGGGAATTGATGGGAAAATGTCCGCTGTAAAATTAAATAGCATTAGAGAAGACTGTACCATGCGCGGGGCGTTGGGAGGGGAACGGCGGGCCTGGGAGACTTTGTCAGGGTATTACTGTGAGCTCCAGGTTTTTTCCCCACATGATTAAGGCAGGCCATCTGTTCTTTGTTAAATGTTTACAAAAACAGCTTTTCTCTAAAAGATTTAAGGAGATGTGGGCCTGGTAAACACTATAATATTTCCGAGCACCTTTCCACCCTATTTCAAACAGTACCAAAACATAATTCTGCCGCATATCAAACAGGACTACTATCTTTTTTGTATTTGGTCTTTACATTTTTTTCCTTCTTATGGAGGATTAAATTTTTAAGGGATACTAATTTATGGCTTCATGTATTACTGAAAGGAGCATCCAGAATGATTTGTGTGCTCAAGTGCAGATAAATTTTCAGTCGTCTGCTATCACGTGTTACACGCTTTTTCTGATTCACAGATGTGGACCAGGTATCTCTCATCAGAAGCTGGCATTTGGTTACTGGAGTTAATGCCATGCAGATTAAAGAAAGGTACACATGTAGAAAAATGGTACAGATGAACTGGTTTGCAGGGCAGAAGTAGAGACACAGATGTAGAGAACAAACGTATGGACACCAAGGGGGGAAAATGGCGGGTGGTGGTGGTGGTGGTGGTGGTGGTGGTGGGATGAATTGGGAGATTGGGATTGACATGTGTACACTGATGTGTATAAAATAGATAACTACTGAGAACCTGCTGTATAAAAAAATAAATAAAATTTAAAAATAACAAAAAAAACAAGAAAGGTACACGTACCTGGAATTAATTCACCGTTCTAAGCTGTAAGCATTGTTTACTGGTAGACTTTGCTCTTTCCTTCCCTTTCCAGTAAATGTTTTTTCTTCCATCTCCTGAGAAATAGCTTGTCCCAAATAAGTTTGATCTCTGGGTCTCTTATGAAAAGATTTGGCTTTTTCCTTTTTACTTACATTAGGAAATAATATGTAACAATTAATTCTACTTCAGTAACTTAGGTATAGTCAAACCCTTAAGTCAGATCCCATTAATTCTCTGCGAATGCTAATTTGGAGAGCTCCTTGGTTGATGTTTGTTAAGCGTGTTTGTGAGGGAAAAAGCGGGGGCAGGTGAGTGGCTTTTCTCAGCATCTGGTCGGTTGTGTTACCCCTGGATGGACACTGCATCCATGTGTTCATTCTCACTCCTCTGCCCTGGCTTCTCTCTCCTCCTGTCTGTCCTTGATCTCCTTCAGCGTCTTTCTCTCTCAGCTCTGACCAAGAAAGGGCGATGTGTATTTTGAGATTTTCTCATACCGTAGGATTTTGGAAGAGACTTTGGAAATCATCTAAACCAAACGCTTCATTTTGCAGATGAAGAAGTGAAATGATTTTCCCCGGGTTTTAAAGCTCATGGCAGGGCCCGGACGAGAATTTTGTCTCTCACCTCACGGTTCTGGGCTCATTCCCTTACACTAGTGCGGATGGAGAACTGAATGTAGGTTTCTTCAGTAGCCATAGTAGGTTTTATTGGGAACAGGAAAACCAGTTTCTTTTCTGGCAGTGATTTCTTTTTTTAAATGTTTCTTTGGGTCACTGAGCACTTTGGAAATAAAGTGAAGCCTGCGGCACCTTTCCTAGGAGGATGGCCGTGTGTGAGGCTTTAGGAGCCGGACGGAGTCAGAAGAGCAGTGGATTTAGGAAACCTAGATTCAGATGTCAACTCTGTCCCCCATGGTGTGGCCTTGGGTAGCCACATGGCCTCCTCAAATTTTACTTCTTTTCTGAAAAATGGGGGTAAATTATCACATTTTGGTGTGAGGTTCAGGTGCACAAACTCCTGAAAGCACCTTGCTTAGTGTATAACATGAAGTAGATGCTCAGTAGATGTGAGTTGTACTGGAATCTGATTTGTAGCCCTTTGTGGGTGGTGAGTAGCAACTCCTGGGCGCCTCAGCAGACCTGGACCTGGGCTTTCCTGTGACTCCTCTTTTGGGGGTCATGTGTGAGGGGCGCAGTTCTCAGTTCTGTCACTTGCATCCGTAACTCCTTGGGTGCGTTCTTCATCTCAGCAAGTCTGTGTCTCCATGGAGCTCTCCGGGCTGGCATGGGGATCGGATGGTGTCCGGGCGTAAAGTGCTTACTTAGCACATGCCCAGCACATGGTAAGACTGCTGAGTACACGCTTGTGGCTGTTATTGCTGTTGCTGTTTATATTACAGTTACTATTTAGTGTCTGGAAAAGCATATGAAAAAGGCAGATAGAACATTTTCAAGTATTGCGTTGAAATGTAAAGGCTCATTAGATGTCATAGTTTACAGTGGAGACAGATGGTCCTCTACCCCTGCCCTGATTTGTATCATGACCACTCAGCGTCCCATCCCAGGTGTTGGTATTCTCCACCGTATTTAAGACCAGTTCTGGGTATGGTCTTAGTGGATGCTGAAAATCTCCCGCAAGGCATGTCAAATTGACTATGTGGGAGCGCTTTCTCTCTCTCTTTCTCTCTCTCTCTCTCTCACTCTCTCAGTGAGATTTGGAAATGTAAAGCTTTAATAACTTAAGAAAAACATTGTCTGCATTTTCTATCAGTATGAGAAATCTAACCAATCCAGAGTCATTAAGCTTGTATATGTGCTTTTAATTTGACATTTGAATGTCATTTAAATCAGAAATGACCTGTACTGTATAAGATTTATGTGTTTACACTCGGATTTCAAACTTTCATGGTATCTGATTCGTACAATGCTCAGTAGACTTGTTCTTTTTAAAAAAAGTGACTTGATTATATATCTTTAATTGGAGTTCCTATTCCTGCATGGGGAAAATTCCACTTGAATTCCATCTTTGTGTCTTAGCTTTTGCTGCTGTTTTGTCTTTCACCATTTCCTACATGGGTGCTAAGAACATGGAAAGTGTCTTCAGCTGAATGAGAAATTTTCTTTCACCTGAAGAGAAGCTTTTACTGTATTACTAAATTGCCCTCTTTATTTATTTAAAAGCTTTCCTGTTGAAGAAACCTATTTTTTTTCCGGATGAGAGAAAACGATAGGTTTCACAAATGCATAGTTGGTTACGTTTGCTACCTTGAGTGTAGTGTAAGTTTCAGAAGCATCAGCCACTTGGCTTTCAGTTCCTTTCTTCACTACGAAGAACGATAAACTAACTTCAATTCCTATTTGTGTCTCTTAGCATTCTCCATCGGAGCCCTTTCTAGAGAAACCAGTGCCGGATATGACTCAGGTTAGTGGACCGAACGCTCAGCTAGTGAACAGTGATGATTACCTGCTGTCAGTAGAACAGCAGCCGCAGCAAAAGAAGAAGAAAAAGAAAAACAACCACATCGTTGCAGAGGATCCCAGTAAAAGTTTTGGTAAAGATGACTTCCCTGGTGGGGTTGATAACCAAGAACTAAACAGGAACTCACTAGATGGGTCCCAAGAAGAGAAAAAGAAAAAGAAAAGGCCGAAGGCAAAAAAAGATCCCAAGGAACCGAAAGAACCCAAGGAGAAAAAAGAGCCCAAGGAACCCAAGACCCCGAAAGCCCCTAAGATTCCCAAAGAGCCAAAGGAAAAGAAAGCAAAAACTGCCACGCCAAAACCCAAATCCAGCAAAAAGTCAAGGTAGGCTGTGGGCAGAAACCACCACCACCAAACACAGTAGAGACACAAGCACAACAGTCACAGCCTGTGGAATGGGGGTGGGGACATGGGGTGGGCGCGGGACACTCTGACATTTGTCCTCATTGCTGAGCTGTTTTTTCTCATACCCAAACTGAAAAGTTAAGGTGTTTATGCATTCTGAGATTTAGGACTCGATTATTATGAACTGTTGATTTGGTTGGTAGATTCTTTAGAAACGTTACTGGATAAAAATTGTTTGTTATTTTAAAATCACTTTCTTGTATTTTTGTGAAAGCCTGTCATTTTACAAATAGAACCAAGTTACCAGCATAATCATTTGTGAGCTTAGACCACCAACCTGTTTTTCAGCGACAGTACCAAACTGGGTAAGAAGGATTACAGAAGCAAGGCGAGTCACTGCATTTCACTAGGCTTTTGAGTCCTGCTTCCCAGAAGTTGAAACGGGAGAATGAATTCTCTCCACTTGGCAGGCGGAGTAAGCCTTCCAGGGGCAGCGTTGAAATCCTAGTGGGCAACATGGGAGAAATCAAATAGCAGTTACCCATTAGATATGCACTGGAGAATAGCATGAATTTTAGGTCCTAGGAAATAGCCGCCTCCACATCATAACTTCCCCTCTGGTACTTCCACACCAACTCTCTGACCCCCCAGGAGGCATATTTATTCAGTAAGAAAAGCTGAGAGGAGAAGACATTGAAGACTAATTTTTTTCATTTGTACCGAACATTTCTTACAACTGTTCTGAACCAGTTCCAAACATCTGAATCTATTTTTCAGAATGTGGCTCATGTTAGAAAATATAGTTTCCAGATGGAAGTATGGTCAGACTTGGTTACTCTGAACGTGTTTGCGGACGCGGGAGAAAACACGCTCCACCGCTTCCCGCCACGAGCGAATGCCCGCTTGTGCAGGGCACGTGGCATTCCACCCCGAGATTGACATGCTCCACGCGGGCTTTGCGAGCTCGCTGGCCTGGCAGCCCTGGGCTTGTGAGCTTTCTTGTGTGTCAGGAGCAGGTACACAAAGAAGGGTGGTTTCTGTAACTAGAAAGATGCCGCAAAGTGAGAGAACAAACTTGGATTTTCAGCTTCCTGCTAAAAATATCTAAACAGCCCAATACATTATTCTGTAGTGTTTTGAAAGTTTGAATCATAGACATTGACAAAACTTTTGTCACCAGTACTTTTTATGGTACCCAAATAACTGAATTACAGTTGGCCCTCCACAAAGGGCTTGAGCATCTGCAGATTTGGGTATCCGCCGGGGTCCTAGAACCGATTCCTTGCAGATACTGAGGGACCACCGTATATTCAGTAACTCAGTCTTATAGGTAACTTAGTATTTGCATTCACTTATAGTGTCCTTTGATGCCTCAGTATGTGGTCTCTTAATTGAAAGCCATTATGTTTTTCTCCCTATGAACACTCCTCTAACCTCAGAATTTATTATAAATTCTATTTTCATTTACTTAAGCAATACTTAATTAAGGACTTACTGTTTGTAGGTACTGTGTTAAGTCTTAGGGATGTGAGCCCAGAGGACAGTTAGACTTTCAGTCTGATCTATGAGGGGGTTTTAAAAAATACATAGTTGCTTAAGTCTGAGTATTGTGCTTTTGGTAGGAGGAAACATGTGCTTTATTTCTCCTAAGGAGAAAGAAATCAAAGCAAAATCTTAAAAGAATGTATTTTTTAAAAACAAACTTACAATGTAAGAGCGTGTGTTCTAAAGAAGTTTTCTGGAACTCAGAACATATATCACCAAAACTAACTGTAGCCTCAAAATACATCTGTCTTAAGTTTTTATCTTAAGTTTTTGAATTTATTACCAAATGGTAAAAATTGATATAAAAAACCTCACTGTATCTTGGATACTTGTTGTAAATTTCCAAATAAATTCTTTCAAGCTCTCAGTCTACCTCAGACTGACCCTATCTTTATTTTTTTCTTTTCATTTCTTTTTTTATAAATTTATTTATTTATTTAGTTTTGGCTGCATTGGGTCTTCGTTGCTGCGCGTGGGCTTTTCTCTAGTTGTGGCGAGCAGGGGCTACTCTTCGTTGTGGTGCGCCGGCCTCTCATTGCGGTGACTTCTCTTGCTGCAGAGCACGGGCTCTAGGCGCACAGGCTTCAGTAGTTGTGGCACACGGGCTTCAGTAGTTGTGGCTCATGGGCTCTGGAGCACAGGCTCAGTAGTTGTGGCGCACGGGCTCAGTTGGCTCCGTGGCATGTGGGATCTTCCCGGACCGGGACTCGAACCCGTGTCCCCTGCGTTGGCAGGCGGATTCCCAACCACTGCGCCACGAGGGAAGCCCTGACCCTATCTTTGAAAACGTACTTTAGCACACCCTTACATCCTGTAGGATATGTTGGGGCAGATATTAAATTGCCCTGTTTAACAATGAAACTTACTGAAATTTCCCTAATGACCATAAACAGGTGTTAGGAACTTGGGGCGTCAAACTCAGTCATTCCTGGGCCTCCCGCCTCCTTGGTGCAGGTACAGACTCTGCCTTTACCCGGTAGGAGACCCTTCAGTGCAGGCCCATCTGTGCCCTCAGCTGCCCAGCCTGAGGTGTGAGTCTCTGTGCAGGGTGAGCAGCTGACGTGGCTGAGTCTGAGTGATGGCTTTGCGCTGGAGTCACACACTTCTAGCAGGAGGAAGGCGCATGATTATCTTGTCCTCAGGAGGAAGTCTAGTACTTTTTTTTTTTTTTTTTTTTTTGCGGTACGCGGGCCTCTCACTGCTGTGGCCTCTCCCGTCGCGGAGCACAGGCTCCGGACGCGCAGGCTCAGCGGCCATGGCTCACGGGCCCAGCTGCTCCGCGGCATATGGGATCTTCCCGGGCCGGGGCACGAACCCGTGTCCCCTGCATCGGCAGGCGGACTCACAACCACTGCGCCACCAGGGAAGCCCGTCTAGTACTTTTTTTCTCTTTATTTTTGCTTTTGACTAGTAGTCTCAGTTGATGGCTGCTGTAGGTGACAGTCGTTTTTCCCCCGAGTGGTGTGAAAGTAATTGAGGGGAACCCTTCTTTAGAGCTTGGAGAAGTGCAAGTGGGAAGGGGGCCACTGAGAGCATTTGCGGCACCTCTGCTGGCCCTGGCGACTTGCCCTTGGAGGGCCACTTGCTGATTTAGGATGAAATGTGGTGAGGACAATGCCTGAGAGGTTTTCCTGTCGTCGATGTTCAGCTGGGGGTGGCTGTCCAAGAATATGGTAACTGAATAGAGATTGTCATTGAATTAACCAGCCAACCCATTCTTGTGTTGAGCTACAGTGTTTCAGGTGGTCAGGGGAATGGAGTATCTCAAGTTGTGGTCTCGTTGTTCCTCTAAGTCTGGGAAGGAAAAAGCATCCCTGAAGCAAGGATAAGTAGATTGCACACAGCTACATGTAAATTCTGAATAGCATAGCAGAATAATTATGTAAATTGAATATGCAGTCATGAAGGTAATAGGAGGTTTGGGTTATGTCAGTGCTGGGGCTGAATTGCCAGAGCAGGTTGCTTTAGGCGCTGGAATACTGCAGTGGCAATTTTGTTTTGCAAAACGTTATGTGATACCAGTTATTTCCATCCTTGAATAAGTTAACTTGATGAATTTGTTTATACAGAAAATAATTCTCCTACAGAGGGCTGAAACAGAGGGGATAAACAGAAATGGAAGGAAACATTTACTGTAGAACTACTCACATCTTTCTTGTTTGGCCCTCTATGCCTTATCACTGGTGAGATTCTCCTAACAGACGTGCTGCCCTTTGAGTGGCTGGTGACGGCAGTGACCCGCTGGGGGTCTGCATTATGTCCACACAGGAGAGAGCTGGTTTTGCATCATTCACATACTCACTGTCATAAATGACATGAGAAAGGTGGCTGTCATTGGTGGGGCTGATTTTCTTTGTGTGCCTTCACCGTGTCCTTCTCACTACCTGTCATCCCTGAAAGCCACTGAGGCTTGAATTTGTGGCCATTCCCAGCAAACTGGCCCTTTTGGCAACCAAGATATAATTGAGTCTGTCTTGCCTCTGCAGGAGAACCTAAAAGAATCTGCCCAGAAGCTGTTATATAGAATGGTAGTGAAACAGAAAAAGGTGTCAGCATTTCAGAAAGAGACATTTATTTATTTATTTGTTTGTTTGTTTATTTTTGGCTGCCTTGGGTCTTTGTTGCTGCTCACGGGCTTACTCTAGTTATGGCAAGCAGGGGCTACTCTTCGTTGCAATGCGCAGGCTTCTCATTGTGGTGGCGTCTCTTGTTGCGGAGCACGGGCTCTAGGCTCACGGGCTTCAGTAGTTGCGGTGCGTGGGCTCAGTAGTTGTGGCTCGTGGGCTTCCATAGTTGTGGCTCGCAGGCTCTAGAGCGCAGGCTCAGTAGTTGTGGCGCACGGGTTTAGCTGCTCCTCTGGACCAGGGCTCGAACCCGTGTCCCTTGCATTGGCAGGCAGATTCTTAACCACTGCACCACCAGGGAAGTCCCCAAAAAGAGACTTTTAAAATCTTGGTGAAAAAAATGGACCACATGCCTCTTTCCTAATTAGGACCATATCTTTTTTACCCCCTCTTCCCATTTTACATTAAATATATATTTTTCTACCTGTCTAGTGCTTTCCCCAGGTGTCTTTATAGCTTTTAAATATTGACGGTTAATATTGAAAATAAAGGCTAAGACAGTTGTGGCCTGGGGAGGATGCCATTTTGCATATGGAAGGATTCACGGAGCTGAAATATGAGGACTCGTGGTCTTCTCTTCAATGCGTTTTCTGTTTGTGTGTATGCTTGGGCCTTGTGAAATGAGAGAGAATTTGGAGGAAGTGCTTCCTTTGAATGACTCTTGGAGGATTTAGTGGTCCATTTAGCTATATAAAGATTCTTTGAATGTACATAAAGAAGGGAACTTAGCCAAAGGTTGTGACTTGACTGCTGAAGCTTCATTTAAATGAAGCCATGGAGATTTGCTTCTAATGCAGTTTCTAGGAACTC